CCCCCCCCCCCCTTCACTTTTCTAATAGTCCGTCCCAATGAGGTCCAACCGTACATGTTTGTGAAAAGTATTTCACGTCGATTGTTCAGCCACATTTTATTAACTGAGACTAGTTGGCTATGACTTGAGTAAGTTATAGGGAGACCAGACTCTATGCCAAAGTAATTTCTAGAAGAAAGGGTTCAATTGGCTTGATGAGTATTTCTTCTTGCAGTAATTGCCGTAACAAAAAATCAACAGTCCCCTCAACAAATTCCCCATAATAAAACATCAACAATCCACTCCCTTTACAAAAATATGTTCCAATACATGCACCGTGTATTAAGTGTGTAATATACTATTCATACCAGTTCAATACAAAAGTAATATATTTGCAGGGGTTATATTTTCGGTAGTTTTGGTGCAAGAACAAGTGGGTTATTCTGTTCCAGAAACTTCCTGCCTTCCGTTTTATAGTCATAATTGCAGTGATGAGTTTCAGCATAACGATGTGTTGCACAGAACGAGTTGCCACATCTAGGGTGGAGACAATAATGATAGAGTTAGAAATCAATGCTAACCTTGTCTCGACCTAGTACCGTCGTTTGCAACTAAGCTTAAACGGTCAATCAGAAACGTAATAAATTCAGACGTCAAACTTTATCTAATTGACATAAACTTTGTAGGTTCTTTGCAAACATGTGAGCAAGTTCTATTCACAAACATTGTTTAAATCTAAATAAATCTGGGTATACACCATATTTTCGTTCGTAAATCTTTCTAAAGCACATTTGCCAAGTCTTTTACGAGAATACCGTTGACGACTGCCTGCATTTTTTTCGAATATGCCTACGGAAATCGTGGATATCGAAAGGCTATCGCTATGGCCATGTTCAATTATTTATTTTTCAATTTCTTTCAACGAGGCCCATCCTTGGTTAACATCAATTGTTTCTAAAAGGACAGAATCTTCAAAAGATAGCTTTGACTGAGTACTTATGTGTGTTTGTAGACGACTTTCAACACCGCCAATCTCACGATGCAATCTCAAAATGTTACCAACTGATGCAGAGCTAATTCCCAAAGATCGGGATAATGTCCTATATGTGCAGTAAGGCGCGTTCTGCAAAATCTGAGTTCTTATCTCAATTGGTAGTGGTTTTCCTTTCTGATAATTTCGTCCGAGTTTATTAACCTGATACATGATCAGTACATGATGTAGTAATTATGACATTCTCGACGTTTTTTTTAAACTTGTCACATAACGGTTTTACAACATACAAAGTTTATGTCAGTTAGATCAAGTTTGACGTCAGATTTTATTGCGTTTCTGATTGGACAGTTTAAGCTTAGATGCAAACGACGGTAACAACTTGTCAACAAGATGTGTTTGCAACAGGCTTTTTGCAGGACGATAACAAGTTTTTGGAACAACTTGCAACACTTCTGTTGGGTTCAACAACCTTGTCAAAAACGATTGACAATTTGTCAACAAGCTGGGAAGTGTGAGCACATCCTGTTGACAAGTTGTTGGAACAGCATTGCTACACGTCGATCTGCTGCAGGTTTGTTACAACTTGTTTATGTGTGTATATACTGGATGCTTGCATTTTCAACTGTTCATGAATATGATACATGGGCCCACACATTCTTTCTCAGAGAAAACTGTCATGTCAAACTGGAAGAATCAATAATTAGACGCTTGCATATTGCACAAATCAAATCCAAAATAATAGTGTACAAGTGAAGGAAAAAGTGATTTCGCTGACCTCAGAATGACATTTCGTCAAACTAAATTTTCTTCAAGATTGGTTTAGAAACAAACTTGGAGTAGGGTTAGGTTAGGGTTAGGGTAAGGATTAGAGTTGGGGTTAGAGTCGGTGTTTGGAATAGGGTTAGTGTTGGTAAAACGTTACGTTTTGTCACTGTGAGGCCGGCGAAATAACCTCTTCCACAAGTGAAAGGCCACTGTGCCAGCAACAATGGGCCACAATGTGTACTTACCGACAAACATGCGTCGTCACTAGACCTATTTTCTTCCTGCAATATGTACATCTAGTTTTCTTCACAGAAGCCAGCTGGGGAGGAGGAGGAGGCGGTCCGCTTCTCATGACATCGGTTGTTGAATAAACTGTAAAATAACATTGACAGGGAGGTTATGATCAAAAATCCTGGTCAAAAATATTGGCATGCACCAATCACAACTCTCCAACTTTGAAATTGTCAAGAAAAGCCTGGTTCACATATATGCCTGCGACGTACCGGCGACGATGCCGATGGTAGCTTTAAAACGTAAATTTTGTGAACATTTGTTCACCGATTGCCTCCAGTGCCACAGTTACATCGGCGGTAGGCCGGGAAAGTTGACTTGAGTTCAACTTTGCCGGTATTTCGGCGGCAAGTAGAGGCATAATGATACAGTCGCAGGCATGCCGCAGGCATATGTGAACCAGGCTTAAACATTGCTCTGCAATGCTCACTGAAATTCGCAACCAACTACTTATACTACAATTAACTCACGTGTGCTACCACTACTTTGCTGTGTTCTATGAACTCTGGATAAGGAGTCATTCTAAAAAGAAAATATTCGAGATTAATACACAAGCCTCTGTTGTGTGAACGAAACTTACTTTAGAAATGCTTTCGCTTGCAACTCAAGGGAAGCTCATCCCCGAATTACGTTCATATAACACAACGTTTTGACATTGGCTGATCGCATTATTAATCCGCACCCCCCCCTGTTGAGGACATGTGGAATTTCCAATGGCCCCCTGCAAAAGCGAACCAGAAATGAAGGAATTTCCATGGGAGGGTCGAAATTTTAAAGCAAATCTGCGGAAATTCCAAAAGGTAGGTAAGAAAAATGAGTAAAACGTATGGAATTTCCATGGGAGGGTCAACAATGGAAAAGAAATTCCAAAGGATAGGATAAAAATCAGCAAGGAATTTTCCAAGGTATAGCTACTAATCAAAGAATCAATACGGAATTTCCACTGGCTAGATCAAAAACTGTCAAGGAATTTCCATGGGATGGGTTAAAAGTTCATAAAAAATTTGCGGAAATTCCATGGGCATGGCTAAAATTCAATAAAAATCTGCGGAAATTGCACAGGCGAGGCTCAAAATTCGCTTAAAATATGCGGAAATTCCAGGGGAGGGGGGACCAAAAAATGGATGTCCTCAATAGGGGGTGCGGATTAATAATGCGATCAGCCATTCCCTCTAGTGTCTTCACAGCCAAAGAGTAGATCCACATAAGGTGGACCCATCCTCATACCCAGAAGCTTTGGTGTGCTACACCGTCACATGACGTGCTGAGGTGGACCTACTCTGGTTGATACCATCATTTCAGTTTCATACCATCTCCTCTTGTTACTCCTGCACACATTCATACTATTTCCATGGTGAACAGATCAGGTAAAACACTTACCAACAAGCCTGATCGAAGCCGTTCAACAGAAGTTCTTCTCTCCTCCATCAAAGCGCCGATACCCATACCAGCACACGTCATAAAACTCGCGCCAGTAGCTTGCTCTACACTTGGCACTCTTGCCTCGAATGTACTTTCAGTATGCCTACAACTGTCTACAGCAGCCTCTTGCGAATTGTCTGTATGTTTTCTAACATTGGGCAATTTAGGCTTATGCTGTCCATGACTAGAATGCAACCTGTTACCGAAATTTAAACCATGATTTGAGCTTAGCCCATGACTTTTAGTCGAAGCAATGCTTGTATTCAGCACATTATTTGCTCTCTGATTTGAGTTTAGCCCCTGGGTCATATGTAAGCCAGTTTTGCTGCAATTTTCGTGTTGGAAATGTTTTGAATGTTTCTGGTTACGGATCGAAGTATCCTCTGGTGGATTTCTGACAAGTTCAGAAATGTCAATATTGTTCGAGTTTTTGTTTTTATTCACAGGAGGCAATGCTTTGCCTGTGGTAGTGGAGGATTCAAGGGGATGAACGTTTTTGTCTGTAGGGTAAATATGGGATGTAGATGGATTATCGTAGGTGTCTTGTTCACGGAGACTTGAACTTGTGCGATGTAAGCTATAGGAATAAAAGGGAAAAAATGTCAAATCTAAGTCCTTCAGAATAGTGGGAATTATATAATACCTTATTGAATTCTGATCGTTTAATTGGCTGTTTATGGTCACATGATATTGAATAGAAAATAAAAAATTCCATTTCCCAAGAGTGCAAAGGAATACGTTCCATTGCACTCTTTGTGAGTGCAATTGTACTATACGTTTTATTCCATTGGACTCTTTGTGAGTGCAATTGTACTATACGTTTTATTCCATTGCACTCTTTGTGAGTGTAATTGTACTATACATTTTATTCCATTGCACTCTTTGTGAGTGCAATTGTACTATACATTTTATTCCATTGCACTCTTTGTGAGTGCAATTGTACTATACGTTTTATTCCATTGCACTCTTTGTGTTTTCGATAAATCGCATCCATCAAAATGCTTCTCGTACAAATCTATTAGTCTATTCTGGTATTATATAAAACAAATAATGAATGTTTATTCGTGCAATGGTAAGAATGTTTTCATTTGGTGAAAGATGGAATGTTCGGCCAGGCCTTAAAATATCGGTCGGTCACGGACATTGTCCGACCCATTCGTGAAATTGTCCGACGTAGAGAGGAAACCACTGGACATTCTGTCCGACCTAAGTGAAACTGAGGTTTATTGTTTGTCCGACCTGAGTGTATTGGTGTCCGACCGAACTGTAGCTTTGTCCGGCGTAAATCAAAATGTACCTAGCCAGGACTAGAGGCTTGTATGTTAAATGGAAAATCAGAGTACTATTGTATAAAAGGTCAACTGGAAATGTTGTTCTAACGTAGTTGAGCGCGGGGCGGCGAGCGAAATGGTGAAGTGGAAAACGGGCTTAAGTTGTCGAAGTCTTTTTAACACTGCTGTTCTGGCAAGCAAGTTAATTTTGGCTTGGAAATAAGTATGAAAGAAACAAATTATTTAATATCTTTACAACATTTACCGTTTATTCATTTGTGTAATTCAGACTTATTTCCGAGTCAAAAAATGAACTGAAGGTCATCGGGCATATGTCCGACCCACACTCAACGTCACCGGACATTTTGTCAGACGGCCCTGTAAAAGATATTTTAAGACCTGGAATGTTCCATTCAACTCGGCTGTCACCTCGTTGAAAGGAACATTCCATCTTTCACCTCATGAAAATATTCTTACCATTGCACTCATAAACATTCATTATTTGTATACTTTGTAGCCAAGTTATCTAAACTCACCGTCGCCTGCATGTTGAAGTTGTTGGTTTCTCGCTAGACGGGGGTTGTGGTTGATATGTCGGATGTTTTTCTGTAGACGGGGGGTGTGGCTGGGACATAACTCTAGCCGCAGTTGGAGGGGGGTGAGGTTGAAATGGCATTTGTTCTGCAGACGTCTCACCACCACCTTGTGACTAGAGATAAAATTAAGTGGAATGACATAAATTTTGAATTACATAGAAACTCTATTTATCCCACTAGAAGACTGGGGGGGGGGGGCTTATTACAAGTGCCAGGGCTCAAAATTTGGAATTCTTAGTAGTATCCAATCCAAAGGGATACTAGTAACTTGGAATCTGGTATCCACTCGGAATATCCCAATGGATACCAAGGTTATGTTTTCATGTCACACAATCACAAAACCTAATCCTATCCCTACAACCTCCTAACCAATCATATTTTGTGACTGCATGACATGAAAATGTAACCAATACTATTAAGCTTGTGATGTCCAGTATCCAAATTTAAAATCTGGTATCCTGTGGATATCGGGATACTGCAAATTTCAAGCGCTGAGTGCAGACTAAACAGAGGCTGGGGGGCTTAATAAATTTTCACATTCTTTGAATATATTACTGTGTGTGCTCAGAATACACAAGTGAAAATCTCACATCTTGTAGCAAGTCTGGCAACAAGTTGTCTTTGCACTGCTTGTCCCAAGTCTGGCAACAAGTTTGGAACAAACTGTTACGGTAACAACTTGTAACAACCTTGTTGATATATTTTCAGACTTGTTGCCATGCAAGGTTGTTCCAACAAGTCTGATACAGTCATAATGTAACAATATTGTTACAACCTTGTGTCATCAACCTTGTAACATTCTTGTTATATCATGACTGTATCAGACCTGTTAGAACAACCTTGTAACAAGTCTGATAATGCCATCAAGCTTGTTACAAGTTGTTTAAACAGCTTGTTCCAATCTTGTTACAACAACTGGGAACAAGTAGTGCAAAGACAACTTGTCGACAGCTTGTGAACAGATTTGTAGCAACTTGTTTGCAGACTTGTAACAACTCCAAAGTTCTGCTTCAGGGCACGAAAATTTGATCAGCAGAGAAGCAAGGTTGCCGACCATCTTCATCGGCAAGAACCATTGTCTCAAAAACACGGTAAATATCATTAATGAACACCATGCAATAGCATTATCACAGAACATATAAACAGAATCCTATATTGATTGGCCATATTTTCGTTTGATCAGCAGAAAATCATGACTGCTGATCACCATGATCAGGAGCATTGGAAATGTTATTTTGAGCCCTAGCTGTCAACTTATATATATTTTCAGGTAGTTCTACATCTTTCACACCCCAGCTGTCTTTCATAATTATGCTCCCACCTGTTCACTCATATGTAATGACTGCATTTCACTTCTCAATGATTTCATTTTATTCATTGTGATGTTGTTTTCCTCGACTGTTTCTTGAGAAACTGTTGCAGAATTTTCATCATCATCTTCATCATTAAGATTGTACAGTGACGCACCACTACAGAAGTAAAAACAATGCCAAGATTTGTCCAACAGAGCTTCACAAAAGACAAGACCAAACCAATTAAGTTTTACTTAGACTTGTCATATAGTATCGATCCACTATAGTGAACATTACATAAGGGGCAGAGCGAGAAAGAGAGACTTAATTATTTGTCAACTACGGAAAATCTCGGTTGAAAACTGAACCTAAAATGCAAGACTTGCTTTAATTGTTTTCCTTCAATTTCTTTCTGTATTATTTACTATAATGGAACTCATGTTATTTACACTGTGCTAGATCAATACATATAAACATTGACAGAAAACAATTAAACCAAGTCTTGCATTTGCCGAAGTTGACAATTAGTCTCTCTAAAAAACGGCTAAAAACGTACAGGTTGTTCCAAGTTGATATCGACAGGCGTGAACAATGTTGGGCGGCCAACTATGAACAAGTTGTCAACCATGTTGTTCCAAGTTGTTACAGTTGAACAATGCTGTAACAACATGTTGACAATACTGTTCATAGTGGGCCGCACAACCTTGTTCACGCCTGTTGATATCAACCTGGAACAAGTTGTTGATTTTCTCAATTTTTATGTGTGTACCATTGAAAGGACCAATTCATTGAAATTACCTTAATGACTCAGACAATGGAGTCAATGCATCATCACCTCTGTCAACCACCCTGTACACATTATATTGCTCACCATCCCTAAAACAAAAATAATTTATACATGAATAGGTCAAGGGTGGATTTTCATTTTTTTAAAGGAGGGTGGAAACATTGCTAGTGGGGTGCAAGTGGCACCACTGAGGAGCTTTTTACAGGGGTTAGGCATTAGGGTTAAGACTTTCACAAAAGTAGGAGGAGTGAATCGAAATTTTGGTGAGGTTGAACACTTTATAGGATGTAGTTTATTCATGTATCATCGCTACTATTGTCAAAATTTGCCGGACTTTTATAATGATTACTTCAAACAAAATAACAATGTACACAACTATAATACGCGAAATTCTACCAAGTTACATGTGAGTTATAAAAGAACAAACTACCGTATGTATATACACTGTATTTAACAAAGGAATTTCTTTATGGAATTTTCTTGATGACGAAATTAAAAATACTAAAACTTATTTTTCTTTTAAGAGAAAAGCAAAATCCCTTTACTTATTATCTAATTAATGTAAATAAATTATAAAAACCTTAGCAATAGCCTTAGGAACACTAATGTATATAGTAATGTTCTATTTTATTTCTTAGTATTTTTTCATCTTTCAATTTGTTGTATATAGTTTCTGCTTGTATATAATTTCTTCTTTCATAGTCTTTAATTAATCATTAGAATACTAAAACTAGGGGCCTTACTATAAAAGTCCAACAGGATTTCCAAAGGTCCCTAGCCCATTATACTACTGTAATTATTTTTTTACTACTTGTATATATTTTGTGGGCAAAAAATTAATAATAATAAATTAATAATAATAATAATAATAAATAATAATAATAAATAATAATAATAAATAATAATAATAAATAATAATAATAACCCCCTCCCCAGTAAATCCACCCATGGAATAGGTAAATAAACATGTACATACTAAGCTAGTTTACCTGTATATATTTTGTAAATATATTATAATGTTCATTAAAGGGATATGGTAATAAAAATAACTTTGTCTTATTTGAAAGAACTTTTAAAGTTATATATGAAGACCCTTTACAACCTTTTTGTACCTTGCTTGGTTTTCGAAATATTTTTACCAAACCAAGTTTCATATTGATAATGACATGTGGTTTGCAAGATAAAAATTTCGCTTTTTACCCTACTTGTGACATATGCATATCGAATGCATATCCAAGATGCATAACCAAGCAAGATACGGAATAATTGTAAAAGAAGTTTATATAATAATTATCATTTTAAATGTTAACAAGACAAACTTAATTTATATTGCCCTTTTAAAGCCATACCTAAATACTAAGAATGTCACTTGTCCGTTGTCTTGTGGTAAGTTGTCCCATATTTCATCCCTAATACAAAACACAAAGTTAAAAATTGTCACTCTAACTATGTACAGCTTTGTACTATGATTTATCCCATCATAGACAATCCAGAAGACATGTCTTCTGGATTGTCTATGATCCCATTAACCCATTGAGGTGCATTGTGCCCTGATGCACCCTATTTTATTATTTTACTCTGCCAGACAATTTTACTCGTCATTAATGGGTTAAGTGGCACTGCACCATAATATGTCCTACTTTATTATTCTATATACTCTGCTGATGCTAGATGATTTTTCAAGGGAAGAGTGCTGGTGCTCAATGGGTTAATTAACCCTTGAAGTGGCAATGCACCCTGATGCACCCTACTTTAGTATTTTACTCTGTCTAACACCAGACAATTTTACTCATCAATTGCTGCCACGGGTTAATAAATAAATAAATAAATAACGATAAATTGTCAAACCTGTTTGCTTCGACATATTCAGCCATTTCTCTGAGAGGATTGTCCACAGGAACTAAAAATATTGATGTGAATGAGACACTTGCAACTATTAAAAGGGTGTAAATTGACAATAATTGCTATCCATGGAAATATTTCACACCTCTTTTCATGTTGATTGGTCCCCCTCGCATAGCCAGAACAAGCTGTAAAGTTGCACCATCTCTAATACTGAAAAATATCACAAGGCACATACAGGGCTTTCAGAATTATTCTGAGTAGGTGTCTGTTTTGATAAAGTAGGCAGCTGTTGGGAGGGGGCGGTCTAGGGGGTCTTAAAGTCATCCAAATTAACAAGTGTATGTTGATTAGATATAGGTAGCAACACAACTGAGCTGTGTAACCAAATTATAATGTATCACTACTTTCATTCTTCAACAAGATGACTTCAAGATTTAAGATGGCAAATAACTATAAATCAGTTTTATGACAGAGTACGTCGTTTTCAAAAATAACCGGGCTATAAAGTAGACCAGGTTGATGGAAAATAACTTGAAAGCTTAGAGTGGAGGAAGGAGAATAGAATTGATATTTCAAGTACTAAACAAATTAAGTAACCGGCGGTAAACCTCATCACACACGCCGAAGCTCCAGCAGCCGCCGGCTTATTTTGAAAGCCCTGAAAGCATTAGCAGGTCTCTAGGCCTCTAGAATATTATAATTATAAAAAAACAATGTAAACTAGTATAATATGGACAAATTAAATACGGTAAATAAAATACTGGCTAAGGAACGAAAGAGGCAGAAAATGGTTTCTCACACACTGCTGGGGGACTGGGTCTAGGGTGGGGTCAAGGTCATCAGAGTCACTTTTTGGCTTGCCTCGCGCTAGCCTGACCTGTGTCCTAGCCACCCTATTGGCAGGTAGTGCCTAAGTTATTATGCAGTTGCAGTAGTGCTAACTAGAATTGGGTTTAGTCTAACACATGATAATTAGTGAGTTGCAGTTGTTTGTACGGATCCATTTATTGTAAATACGAGATATTTTTGTTGAATTAAAGGTCAGGCTACCTTGTGTGTGCAGCATCCCTTAGCGGTGTGTGAGGAAAGATTTTTGTTCATTAAATTAAAGGTCAGCTAGGCTGCACTTGCAGCATTCCCTAGCAGTGTACGTGTGAAAATAAATAATTAAGTCATGCAAATTATAATGATGAACAAACAATAAGTACCCCAAAATGGATTCTTGTAGGAACTACAAAATTACTACATTTTTTAACTTACTCGTAATCATGAAGACAATAGTCATCTTTCAGTTCCATAGATCTCCAAATTAAATGTTGTTGAGATATTGGAATGCCTAAACATACAAGAAACAATCATGGAATGAAGAGACCATCAACAACAGGCTTCTCCTAATGGAGACTGAGGTTGGTAGGTGGGTGTAGAAGAATCTAGAATCTGACAAAGAACTTGATTATATATTAAACATACTTTGTCAAACCTTACAACCACCAACCGTGGACAAACGCAGGAAACACTTAAAAATAATTACGCCATTTTGCAGTTTTGTTTATATGAATAATAATCACTGATGTAAGTACCTACATTCTCCTATAAACTAGTATTCGTGATGCCAACCTGTAGCAGTTAGGTTAATTAGGCCAAAATTATTACTATATATTTTAATAATTTCCATTATGGAATTATACAGTCAAACTCTAATTAATTAAGTAATTAATTTGAAACTTTGTGGTTCTTGACTTCTTTTTTGAGGTAGGCTGAGTGTCTGCATAAACAATTGAGAGGAATTCCTGTTGATGATGTCTGTGTGTTGACAAGTGCACTACAGTGCTACACAGTGCATAAACAATGCCTTTAGGCCACACACGACAAGTTTCCTGCATCTACACTGTAAACAACAACAGTCTGTTGTGGAAGC